GTTAATTCGAGTTGGAGTATTTAAAGTTGATATGTGAGATATTGTTGATTTCTTTGATCAGTAAATACATCTTAATAAATTATCTTTTGAGCTTCTAATTCGAATTGTCTTTTGTAAGGATTTAGATAATGATGCATTTGTACGTTATTTCTGACTTCTTAATTCCTCCCCTAATGCCCAGAAAATTGTCATATCAAATTCACTATCATCATTTTGCATTATAAAATATCGCTCCTTAAGACTTGAGATATTGTATGAGAGTTCAAACTACGCATTTCTCATCGACTTTCTTTACTTTTCATCTTAGTGCAGTGTGATTGATTAATTATACATATAATTAAATGAAAAAATCGAACTCTAACCACAAATCAATTATAACTGAGAGAATTATGATGTTAACATGATGCATAATAGTATTTCCTATACAGAATTGGGAAGCACTTTTTCTCAATAGTAATGGTTTATGAATTAATTTGGAGGCACTTAACAAATAATAGTGTTACCAAACTAACGTTTATATTAAAATGTTGAGATTTAGTCTCGCTAACATTAACAAGATATACTGTCTTGATTGTATAATTTGAAAATTTTGCTCATAATTTAACCTTTGAATAGTAATTTCTCAAACCACATGTTACGAATACCATGCAATTATCTAGTAGACATATTAAATTTATTAGATATAAATAAGATTTAGATGGTCAACGTGAAAGATGACAGAGTCTCATGTATCCTCTAATTAATTTTTAGAAATATAGGGAATTCAGTCCATACTTTTGCTAATGATTATCAATGACCTATTTTCAATAAAGAACAAATAACATATATGAATTAATCGAATGAATGAATCTTCTAGTTCTTCACTGAATGTCCATTTGAATTCTCATTTTACACCATTGTCAATCCAATGAAGGTCTAATTGAACATGCCAACAATAAAATATAAGAGTTATTGAACTTTTAGTTCAATACAGTATTATCAAAATGGTCACTAGAATTTAGTGTAGCGTGTTAATTAGGAAACACTACTAAAAACTTTGTAGGTTTCTCTTTTATTTAGTGGAGAACAAATTGTTAGTAACAGTAAATTTATCCCTTCAAATCACAAAAAAATTGACTCCTCTGGAGTTTCAAACTAATATTTTTCGAGAATATTGATGTACATAATTTATTGTTTCCTTAGAAACAATTTAATTAAAATTACACATCTTCAATATTAATACAATATTTACATTGTGACGTCTAGATTGTGATTCTTAAAAAATAGTCACATAATATTTTTGAAGAATATTAATAAATATAAAATTGTACTTCTTTCATATCAACACAATATTCTTTAGAAATATTGATTCGTATTAATCGATTCAAACAATTATGTAATATTCTTCTAAAATATTTAAATATTTTAATCATATTTTGTTCCAAAATAACAATAATATTATGCTTTTCAGCGTAATAATATATTATTGTTTAGAGTAATAAATTATGTAAGCTTTTACTCTTTAGGAGTAAAAACATAATTTATGTTAAATTTTATATTATTATGCTCTTCGAGAGAAAATAAAATCTAAATAGAATATTAATGAAAATTATAATATGCTACTTCGTGAGTATGTTATTATTACTTCTTCAAGAGAAATATATCAACATTCCCCTGAAATATTAAAAATTATAATTCACGCTTTTCGGGAGGAAATAATATTCTTTAGGAATGTTAATTATAATGCTGTCTATTTCAAGAACAACAACATGATGAATTATCAATTTAAAATTTACAAAGTAACATTTTAAAATATTTAATCTGGTTAAAAATATTAATTCTATACAGATGGGATGTCATATAAAAATTAATTATCAAACATGTATTATGAAAAAAAAAATTCAAACGTGAATTGATTTCGGCAAAAAATTGATATAGGTGGCACCAATTGAAAGTGGCATGCTGGTGATTACAAGCAAACAATTGAGATAAGTTGAAGATGGCAAAGGTAATGATTACAAACACACACAAATTGATACATATGCATTAATGTACAAGTTGATAGAAACAAATAGATTGCGGCAACCACGGATGCAAGAACGTTGCCTTGGCAAAGACGAATATGCATCTACCATATTTGCTTAAAAGAAATCAAACAAATTTTTTTTTCTAAGAGCAATGTAACTCTGATAACAATGTCAACGTTGTAAAAGGGAGACTGCAAAATTGTTTATGGCCTCGTATTAATAGGGATGGTAAAAAAATCCGACAAACTCAATACCTGCTTAATCGGATATTCTGGACGGGGAAGAGAAGGGTAACTTTGCCCTAGGGTGGGTATGAGTAACGGGTATCTTGCCCCGCCATGCCCATTCCGTTTAATTTTTTTCTTAGAATTCAATATTTTAAATAAAAAATTCAACTGAATTTCATTAGTTCTAATAAAATATGACAACTAAGGTTATTTAAAAAATATGACAAATAATAAAAGCCTTAATTTACCAAATATATTTGAATAATTTAACTTTTAAAAATAACTTAAAAAATTAAAAATATATTATTATCTCACTTTAATGAATGAGGACAGTGAAACGAATTATCAAAAACTTAAAAAAAAGAAGAATTAAAAGGGGCAATGGCGCTGCTCCGCCTCGTCTTAAACGTGTAATGGGGCGGAAAATTGTCGACGGGACGGGGGATGTTGCCCCGACCAGCCTCGTTGCCATCCCTATGTATTTACGCTATATCCACATATGCTCTCACAGATACAAGGAATGAAATAAAAGGAAAAAAATAAAGTGTCAATTACTATCAACCTAAATCAATCTCTACCACTAAAACTATGAAAAATTCAAGACCCCTTGTTTGATTTTACTAAAAATCGATTTTTAGCAGATTTTCATAAAAAATAAATTAAAATTGTGTGATTGAAAAATTGATAAAAAATGATGGGTCTCATAAAATGCGCCGTAGATATTTTTGTGTAAATCTTATCTTATGCACTGCAGATTTTGCTTGATTGCTTGTTTTGACGACTTACACGTTTTGTATAAAAATTGTGCACCTACCTCTCATGGTCAAGATGACATATTTAGGTGTAAGAGTGACAATTTTATCAATATTTCAAAAGTGACATGCGTTTTCGTGAATTGCATATAGGTCATCTATTATGATTATTTATAAATTTACATGCAATTTTGGTGCCTTTATTATTTGCTCGATTATATTAAGCTTTTGTTTGATTTATTAGATAAAAATAAGTTTGTTTTTATTTTAGTAAATTTTATAAAAATTGCTTAAATGTGTTATTGAGCCCCTGTTTGAGTTACGTTAAAATTTTCATATTCATTCTTCTACTCATTTTCAATTACACATTTTTCAATTAAATAATAATTTTTATCACATTAATAACATTTCCTTCTTTTTCAACCACACATTTTTATCAATCTACTATTCGAGAATACATTCTTCTAAAATAATGTGACTCCAGCACATCCTGAAAAGAAAAATGATGGGTGTATATAGCATAGTGTACACCCCTACACTCACATGTGAGGGGACCCACTATGAATAAAAAATTTGTGGGCCCTCTCTATGTGAGAGAAGTGTACAAGTATGGTGTACATATAGCAGAGTGCGAAAAGGAAAGTTGTGAATTTCGTAAATTATGCGATTATGATTAAGTAGACTTGGAGTTTGATTTTAATTTACTTCTTCTATATATTAAAAGTGGCTATATAACGGAATTTCTTATTTTTAACGGAAAAACTAACGGAATTTGTTGTTTTAACGGACTATGTAACGAAATTTCTTGTTTTAAACAGACAGCTGCACATTCTTTCAGTGTTTTTATCATAACTTTGTATTCCGATATCCGATTGAGGCGATTCAAAATGCGTTGGAAAGCTAACTCATCTGGCTACAACTTTGATTCAGACATCATTCTCCAATTCGATCACTTTCTATGCCAAA